GTTTGTAATAGAACGCATATTCCGTTTCGTAATAATGCTGTATGTATGTAAATATCTGTAATCGCATTAAAGTTTTGGAAAACTGGAGACCATTTTATTTACGAAAAATACACTGGTATGCATATGATAATCATGCACGGATAAGAAAAACGTAAGATTATCAAAGACAACTCACATGTCCAAACTTTCCAGTATTCGAATTCTTACTTAATTTCATTATGATCCCCACTTGATTAAAATCCAATTGAATATGACCATTTGCACTCGCACAAAATAATAAATTTGTGGATTAACACATAATAAATCCACAAGCAAATAGAGTTTGTAAATATTTAAAAAAAATGGAAATGCTTCAGTTCACTCCTATCGTCCTATTTGATCCAAAATATTTTACTTTCGGTAAAAATGTGACAAATATTTTTTTAGTTTATGGAACCGATTTTGTCAAGTGTACATCAGTTTATTTAGGTTTGGTTTCATTTGTTGCTTATAAAAATATGCATTTTCTATATAAGAAAAGCATGCATTGGAGCACAAACAACATGATATGATACAAGATATGTATTCCATAATTCAACTGTAGCAATAACCAGTGTCACTGTGAAATTGGAGTATTATTTGTACGGGAACAATCCTTTGAATCCGTGAAATCCTAGAAACGTGATTTCTCCATCGAACGGGATTCCGAAGGCGATTAAGGGGAAGAAGTATTCGATGTCTCCGCCGTACTGCGTGAAAAACGTGTCGGCATCGGGAATCGCTTTCTTCTCTTTCTTTCCTGCTGCTGCGGGGGGGCGCGGTCGTTGTCGACGTGGCGTTGGCGTCACCAGCATTTTCATACCATCGTCCTCCTCCTCGGCCACTGAACGGTATGGACTGGACATCTCGTCTCGTTACAACTATGCATTTCATGGAATTTCAATAAATTAGAGGGATTTTTTTGTACTCTTCTTCCGATTCCTGGATACAAATAGTTGATCAATTCGACAGGGTCACCGATTTTTTATGCAAAGATGATAACTGGATTTTACATTATTCGCAAATCGACGTGAACAGCATAAAAGAACATTTTGCAACAAATAGTCATCTTTGTATAAAAAATAAGAAATATTTTCATGTACAAATTAGTTACTTACAAAAAATCTATATATTATAGATTTAACAAACACTAATTATTATTTATCTGCATTTTTCTAAATTTATCTTAACAGTGCGTCTTCAATTTGCTGCTTACATTATCTAAATATACATGCATTAAAATACTGGTTTTCAGCAAAATTCAATAATGACTTCGCACTAGAAAAAAAACCTGATAAAATTTAGAATGCAATTAATTTAGTAACAGTTTATTAATTCTTTACAAAATTTCAATTTTCGAAATATGAGTGCAAGTTTCGAAATCTTGCAATTTGGTTGTTTTATCCTTGCAGATCATGCAAACCTTTGAGCATACTAAAGAGGACAATGGATGGCTGAGATATTCAAGAAAAACTGATATTTGCTATGCAGAAATCATCATCACTCGAAATTACATATGATAAGAAAGATACGGGAAAAATATGATGGGGTGACAAATGTGCAAAGACAAATGTGCAAACGACTAATGTGCAAAGACATTTGTGCAAACGATAAATGTGCAACCTGACAAATGTGCAGCCCGATAAATGTGCAAACGATAAATGTGCAACCGATAGATGTGCAGGAATTTTTCCAACAAATAGTGCAATATATCTTGATATAATTTACACTTCAAATCAAATTACATCTTATCAAAAAACTAAGAATTCTGAAACCAGGGTATTCCGACCTGGGTTTTAATGGGTTGGGTTTTATTGGGTTTTATTGGGTTTTAATGGGTTGTAAAGGAATAAAACCCACTGGGTTTTACCATGTTAAGTGGGTTTTATTAGGGTTTTAATGGGTTTTATTGGGTTTTAATTGAATTTTACCTTAAAACTACATTCTAAAAGTTAAATACATCTCCCATACATTAGAAGACGTTATCTCAATTCATTCTAAAGCAGTTTATTTCATTACTATTCTAATATATGAAAATTCGGAACAAATCAACAATTGACTCCATCCTTTAGCATCACAGATTTCAAGTGTTATAAAACAAAAATAATTTCCGAATAGATACAAATTCCGAATTATTTTTGTGAAGTTATTACTTAAAACTAATAAAACCCAATAAAACCCATTTAAACCCAATAAAACCCATTAAAACCCATTAAAACCCAAATAAAACCCAACTAACATGGTAAAACCCATTAAAACCCATGGGTTTTATAATTTTTTATTAAAACCCTGGGTTTTTCCGAACCCTGTCTGAAACATTAATTTTGTGGTGAAGCTTATGAAGCTGGAGATCTTATAATGCAGATTTTATACTTATTAAATATTACTAATCATCATTATAACGGGGTTGACCCCTGTCAATTTTATAATAAAATTCCCGTGCCGAATCACTGTAATGCTAAATTTAGCTAGTGACAATTAAACTTTAGTTAGGGACACCCCGCGGGGACAGAATTTAAAATAACAGCAAATAAGTAAATCCCGAATTATTTCATTGAAATTTAGAATTTTTATATGTACATAATTCCAGCCTATACGATAGACTAAAATTCACGAATTCACGAAGATGTATGTACCAGGAAATTTATGCACCATAAAAATATAATTTAGTAAAATATTAAGTTAACAATAAATTAATACTGCTCAATATAAGATCTACAGCTTCAACAGACATCATACGGGATGCCACCACAAAATTAATGTTTCAAATTTTAGTTTTTGAGGAGATGTAATTTGATTTTATGTTTAAATTATATCAAGATATATTGCACCATTTGTTGGAAAAATTCCTGCATATTTATCGGTTGCACATTTATCGTTTGCACATTTGTCTTTGCACATTGGTCGGGCCACCGAAAAATATTCAAGTGCTATCAAAATTTTTGGAACAATTTTGCTTGTAAAATTGCACTCCATTTGGTCATTTTTTACGATATTAACTTATCCAACATAAACTTATGTACGTCCAAAAAAATAAGACATCGCATTTATAAGTTTTACAATTTTTATAATGACGTCGGAGATTACAAATTTAGTCAGATTCGTATAATTCAATCATGACACACCGATAACCATGCATTTTCTTCCTGTATACATTTATTATGCTCCAATCAGCATATTATTACTGTACCTTTCTCGCCCATTGTTTTGCACAATCGACTTCCGTACAACGACGGTAGCATTAATTTTATTAAAAGCATGCCATAAAAAACGGCGCATTCTTATGCACACATATCTTAAATAAATACATAAATGTATGTATTTATTTGTATGTATGCCACTCATTCAGGATTATTTTGCATTGTGCTCTCGCAGTGTAAAAATATGGCCAGGAATCAAAATCAACCAAGAAGAAAGAAAACGAGTGGGTGCCCGTGCTGCCTAATTTATTTACGACGATATAATATTTATTTCTACACCTTATGCTTATTAAATACGTACGTTCACGTTTAATTGTTCCGTGATGGCCGGATGTATAGGAGATGAAACTTGTTAGTGCATAAATGCAATTATTCGGCACACACACCGCACGGCTAAAACCAATTAAAGATTTTGGGTGGGTGTATGGCACGGATAATTGCAGGGTTCCATAACATAATTTTTGTGGTGGTGGTGATTTGATTTATGATTTTTTGGGTGTGACGTGATGATTAATTAAAATCCAAAAAATTTGACTAATTTGCACAATTCAAAAAACAAATAAAAAAGAAGAAATTCTATAATATAAAAAAAAATCCCACAAAAATAATTTTCCATACATGGACTTGAAGAGGACCACATGGTAAATAAATTCCGATCCAATCATGCTTTTCTTTCATCACTTATTTCCTTGTGACGATCCGATTTTCGAAACCCTGTTAAATACGAGAGAGAGTTGTGCATATTTATACGAGCTGCCAGCCTGGAGGAAGACATTTTAATCATCCAATCCACATACGGATACCAATTGCATGCATAAAATCATACCTACTTTTATCTAACGAGGAGAAGAAGAAGACGATTTTTTACTGCCGACTTCCATTCTTGGATTAAATTCAAAACTCTCCTCTAATGGCACAACGGGGGCTGGGAAGTAAGAATGCGACCAAATTTTTATGATATTGTGATCCCGGAGAAGATTTAAAACATCCTTCCTGCCCGACCCTCGACTAGATATTCGTCAAACGCTGAATGAAGAATATCATATTTACTACGAAGTTCGGGTACAATTTCCAACTGAAAGGTTAACAAATGCGTATTTACGTACGTATCTCTTTTATAATTTAATTTCCTAGAACACATGGTAATTGCATCAAGCCCCATAATTGCAATTATGTACCAACACCTCTTCACGTGTCACTGGCTCATGTCGTCGTCGAAAAGTTGGGAGACACAAAATAAAATAAAATCCCGTGAATTTTCCACGTATTTGCTTCCTCCAGGATCAATCAGAATATTGAAAACATTTTCATATAGTTATAGTTTCCGCTTTGATGTGTCCTCCCTTTGACTAATTAGTTGGGTGTAAAGGTGGGTAGAAAGGTGGCATTATAAAAGGGGCATTTTTAAACCGGAGGGTCTGTCACTCACTCCCGAGAACCAGCACCAGCAACAAGTGTCAAGTGTGTGTGTAGAAAAATACAAATATTTATGTGACGATAATTACAATTGCTTGTCCGATTTTCCAGCAAAAAATCCTATTTGTCTCTCCATCAGAAGGAGACGTCATGTTAGTGCTGCTGCTGTTTGTACAAGTTTTACATGGTTGTTCTCCCTCTCATCTTGTTATTCTTATTACTCATGTATCAGGGACACACAGGAGGAGAGATGCGACAAAGAGCATAATTTTTACTTAACGACATCATGTAAAAGACCTACGAATGGATTTGTAACCCCTCAAGAAAATTGGCATCTGCACAATCTCAAAACATGTTTTACAGAGTGTCTCGCTCGACGTGAGTCTCACTCTTGCATCGACCCTGCTACCGAAGACACATATTGTGCGTACATACACCGTCTCAAGTTGCCTCCTCTCGAAAAACGGTCTGATTTATAACGAGACAATTCAATCCAGTTATTACACATTCGGTTGTTGTCCATTGTCCATTTATGGTTGTGCGTGGCGTGGCGTGCTCTTTCTTCTTACAGGATTGACAATCAATCAATCAATTCGTATAAGTAGACATCGATATTCAAGTTGCACTACTGGGAACACAATAATAACAATTGTGCATTATATTATATCCCGTTGCATAATATTATTTCTCCGTTACGACATGTAAATCCGCCCCTGTGAGTATTGTCTGAATCGTAGTGCACGGAAAAGAAGGTAGTGACACTTTCCAAGTAAATATTGTCGCGTTATTATTAATTCAGGAGACAATTTGGAAAATACAATTTGGAAAAAGAAATTAGACCTGGATTTTGAAGGGAATTAGTAAGACAAGGATATTGATATATGTACATTTGCAAATTTCTGTAAGGAGGACGTGTAATTGGGGTAAGAAAATGGCTAAATAAAACCCACGTGCGCGTAAAACCAGTAATGAAAAACTTATCGCGAGTGGTCATTTCTAATAAAGAAGAAAAAGAAGAGTAATTTCGACAGTGCGTCAATTTAGACCTTAAACTAAACCTGGTGGTCGGACGGAATTATATAATTACATACGCGGAAGAAGAAGAAAACAAATCAGTCGTGGTCTTTTTGTAGAGAAAATAATGTCAATGTGACTACAAGGTTGATACACATAAAGCTGGTTCTACTTTATTTATTCCTGTCGGAACGCTTCAGCTATTAAATTCCTACTGTAAAAAAATGTACATTGTTGCTGATAAGACAGGAACCGTTTAAGTGATCGATACCAATTTCAAGCCAAGTAAAGAAAAAAAAAGTTTTCGTGAATGGGTGGGTTTTTCTAGTTTGAAAGAAAACTTGGAATTTGGAACGAAACTAGAAAATAGTGCAGATAATTGGTAGTTTCGACGAGTGAAGGAAAAAGTGGAAGTTTGGTGGCGACACAATTTTCACCCCTTTTTCGTTATCACTCTTGTTGATAGAGTCGACGAAAACAAGTAATTCGTGTTTCTTAAGGAGTCTCATATTTCCCGAGGAATTAAGCGATCGATCAGTTCGCAAAAATGTCACGTCGCCACGGTCACTTTAGTGAAGATCACCACCATCATCCCGACGCCCTGCCTCGCATCCGACCGTACGGGGCACACCTCTCGACGTCCAGCAGCACCAGCAGCAGCGGTGGGTCGGGTAGTTACTACTCCTCCACGTCGACCAGTTCTGGTCACTCGAGCAGCAGCATGGACAGCATTCGACACCCGCACCTTCACAGCTACAGCTACAACAGCTACAACAATTCCAGTGAAGTCGCCCCCCTAGCGCCACCCACACAACTTCCTAGAATCGTGGTGCCAAACCCGAAACCAGCCCCACCGCCGCCACTTTTTCCGCGGACGGACGACCTCTCCATCTTCACCTTCCTCATGGCCAAGTTCGCCTCGCCGCATTTGTCCCACTTGCCCGAGGAGACGACGACCTGCGTCCACATGCCGCACTGTCACTGCCACTCGTCCCCCAATAACAAGAGGTTCGTGGGTGGAGGGATTTCCTCGTCCTCGTCCTCCTCCTCCTCCGACCTGGCCACGTCGTACGTCGGAGGGGACGAGGAGTGCTGCTCGTGCGACTGCCCGTTGGGGAAACACTGTCAAAACTCACTGTTTGGACATAATTCGTACAGTTTACTCAAATGTACGAATTTGGAGGGTTGTTTGATCAGATCGTTGGAAAGAGGAGGTAGGTAAAATCGATTAGTTGAAAAATTAGTGAGTTATCTGCATCGTTTTTTACTTATCATTTGGCGTAAATGAGAGGGCAACGTTTCATTAACAAATGGCTGCGAGCATCTGAATCTTTTTTACTTATCATGTGGCGCAAATGAGTAGGGAACTTTTCATTAATAAATGGTTACAACCATCTGCATCTATTTTACTCATCATATGGCGCAAATAAGAGGGCGACGTTTCATTAATAAAAGCTGCGCTGCAACCATCTGCTTCTTTTTTACTTATCATGTGGCGCAAATGAGTAGGGAGCTTTTCCTTAATAATAAATGGCTGCTAAATGATTGTCGCGTGTTGCAAAATGGTGCCCAGGAGAGAAGCCCAGATTTACATAAAATCCCATTACGACGACGACTCATTACTTATCCCGAATTATGAACCACTTGACAATAATTGGCCATTATTTGCCTTATTATTATTATTGGCGTGAAATTATTCGTCTCTGAGTGGAGGGCACATTCCTTGTATAAATTTGCATTAGAAATTATCACTCTCCTCTCAATCGTCAGGGCCGAGAAGAAAATGGAATAAAAGTCATCCCAATTATTCCACATCGTGGTCGTGTAAAGTGTTATTTTTGCTTTAGTACCTGTTGCTTTGCCCCTGCTGCACCTCGTTTTCTTCTGGGAGGAGATTTTTGCCAATGTGCAGTCACTCACTCACTCAGCAGACCAATAATTACGATTTTTATACGGGCTTCTGAAAAAAATTGATATCTTAATTGCTACCATGATATGATAACTAAATAAATAAATAAATAAGTAGTAATTAAAGAATGCTTTTAGTTTTTGACCCTAAAAATCGGCACTTATCGAGAATCACCTCCATCCATTTTCTTATCATCACTTTACATATACAGAAGTACTCACTCTTATTTTATTTATCATTTCATGACCTATTGCATTTCATCTCACTCAACTCGACACAATTAAATAAGTACATTTTACTTATGTATGTACGTATGTAACTCCATTCCATTCCATCATCACCTTCGGAATGTGCATTATTGGGCACAAATAAATAAGTTGCAACACAATTCGTGCAGGTATGACTTGCAAAAAGTAATTGTATTTTTTTGCACTTGGCAATTGTTCTTGCTCCAGGAAATCCAATTAATTGTTCAAAGTTCAAAATTACAATAATTACGGCAAGAATGACATCATCACAGTTGCATTTCCAGCGCAGGATGATGATTTTTCTGCATCAGGATGTCTCCTTGTACATGAAATTCGTTTCGTTTCGTTTTATTGTCAGAGAAGAATTTTGTGTAAAAAAGGTGCAATGATTCAATAATAATTTAGTTTGTATAGTTTCAGTAATTGCAACGTGGAGAGGCAGGGTTTCTAAACAAATGGTAGCGTATTTTATGAAGTTATTTTTTAAATTTCAAAATTTTGAGATGGGTAAAATCACTAAAATTTTGATTCATGCTTATTTTAGCATGTTTTTCAACTTTTCTGGCACTAAATTAGTCAAATTTAGTGCTTAAAGGTACACCAAAACTGAAAAATTATGCACCTGACCAAACCCTGTGCACATGTATCTTTGCCATTTATGTACTTACTCAGTCATGGACAGAGAGGGTGACGATGACTTGACGAAATTATTACTCAGAGGTATTTATGTATGTGCAGGTTTGGATTAGAATCAATTTGCTTGACTTGCTCGTACGTGGTGTGAATGCGAGGAGAATATTATCAAATATTAAAAAAGCGTACATTTTCATAATTACAGCGATGATTCCATTGTTACTTGTTCTCTGGTTGTGTTCATGCATTCATTCCATGCTGCATGTACATTTTCCTGCTAATTGCGCCCCTCTCTGTCTTCACCTTGTTAAATATTATCATTATTATTATGCCTCCTCAAAAATCTCGACATTTTACTTAAAACGTATCCCATAACGCACCACCGTCGTAATGATAAACAAAAGCTTTAATGGGGAACAATAGGCTTAAAAAACAGAATGGGATGAAAAACAATATTTTGTATCTGAAATTTTGTCAGGCATCAAAAAACTCTCGACAACTTTTCATCTCTTGTTATTTTTCCGTGTAACTCGATAATCGTGATATTATTGCGTATGAATGAATATACGCGGAATTTAGGTGCGAATGGAGTCGCAGTAATTAATAAGTTGTATCGAATTATGTTATGCATAAAGTTTGCAATTTGGCGAGTGGGCGATATCTTTTCTATTATTTTCTGTGAATTTATTCATCCCTGAATTCAATGAGAGTGAGTAATTGAGCGTATTAATTAAGATTGTATTCATCGATATGCTGCCGTATGTATAATGAAATGTATGTAAAGTATAGTAAAGTGGCAAAAGAAAGAGGAGGAGCAGGAGAAACAACAAGTTGCAAAAGAGGAAAACAAGAAATTGAATTGAATTTCGGATAGATTTGAGACAGAGAAAATTGAATAAATAATAAACGAGGAATAGATATTTGTGTTGTTGTTCCACTGGATCCGCGATTACCTTATTAGCCAAATTATTATATTATTTAAGCCCAGTTATTATTATTTTTGCGTAAAAATCATACAAAATTGAATAATTTGAACGTCGAAATAAAAATAAAGTGGTCTAAAATAATAAAATCGGCAATTATCTTACCCGAATAAGCCGAATTAGCGGAATAATTTTGTTTAATAATTCGGCTAATTCGGGTAAGATAATCGCCGATTTTATTATTTTAGACCACTTTATTTTTATTTCGACGTTCAAACTATTCAATTTTGTATGATTTTTACGCAAAAATTAAAAAATAATATCATAATCGTGGATCCAGTGGAACTCTTATGGCAGGAACAACCGTAATGTATAAAATGATGATAAATCGTGTATAACGCAGTAGAAGAGAGGAACAAGGTTGAACTGTAGATTGATTACAATGGGGAGTTATAGTAATATTGGTAAAATAATGCTTTTTGCAATGTTTCTAGAAATCGTAATTTAGAAATTGCATCATATTTAGTTACCGTGAATTGCATAAATCACTTATGCAATTCGTATCTTTTAGTGTAATATATATCCCATCTCTTCGAAAATCCACATTTCTTTAATAAATTCACAATTTTGTCATGATCACAAACACTTTTGCATTCTGTAAAACTCCAGGATAAGATGGGTATTAAATGTGGAAATATTTGGTACGTGTCATACCTGAATTTCGCAATTTCATCCATTTCATTTACTTACAATACAATAGGGAAAGGTTGCGAAATTGATATCAAACTCCGAGTTGGATGGAACCTTGCCTGCCTACATTTCATTTCAAGTAAACTTCGTTGCTTCTACAATACACGAACTTCAAATTATCTGCTAATTCCCAGGTAGCGATTTTACAACGTGTGATGATGTGATCTTTAGATGTTCGACCTTGGTTGCAAATAATGTAACGATTGGATTGATATACAACAAAAGGTCTTCTTCTCCTCCTTCCCCCTTCATCTCTCTCTCTCTTTTAGTTGTAAAGTATATACACAACTGCAACTCAAAAGAGAGTGAGAATTAATTCGAATAATAAACAGTCTCAAACCAACATAAAAAAGTGGCGTCATACTCATGCAGTTAAATGTAAAATGATATCATACATATTGACATTATGTGATTTATGACCTTTGGCCTGTCCCCATAGTCATGGATTGGTCGGAGGTCAAAAATATTGACGGTGTTGATTTCGTGGTGAAATTTCCTTTAAAATGACATCCCATATGAAAATTATGGATACATTTAACTTTGGACCAGACCCCCTCGATTAACGGAGGTGGTCCGATTCACTCAATTATCGAACTCAACAGAGAACTAAAAATAAAAATTAGAAGCATAAGCAGTGTTTGATTATGTTGACGAGTTCTAGAGATATCCTGGTTACGGACGGACACACAGACGGACGGACAAAACGATCATAATAAGCGGTTGGCACCACTTCTTAATAAATACGTGCAAATTTTAAGTGAAAAGCTGTTTGTGTCCTTCTCGATGTACATTAATTCGTATGACAGGCAGGATAGCACCCCTCTCCTCCTCCTCCTCCCAGCATGCAGACAGAAACGCACCCAGACATGAAAACTAATAAATATTGGAAATTTTAATGTGGCATTAATGCATGCAGCTACTGCCAACTGCATGCCTAATTTTATTGCAAGATAGATACGTACATACGTAAGCGAAACTGTGAACAATGTCCAGAAGAAGAAAAAGACGATGATAAAAAGAGAATGGAAAACGTGATTGGGATGAAATTGATGCAACTTTGTCCAAAATATGCACGAATTGAGTTTGGGATAAAGAAAAGTGAATGATTTGCAGTCAATTTTTTTAAATGGAAAATTCGTTACTTGATTGTTTTACAATTTCTAAGAAGAAACTCGATGGGAAATCAATCAAGTTTTGTATTGTCTGTGTGACAGGTTTCCATATTTGCATATAATGAAGGATGAAAAGGGTTGGAAAAAATTCTAAATAAAATAAAAGTTTGGCTTTCATAATTACCAAAAATTTGTTTGCACAAAACTTAAGAATAAAACGAATGTGGAATCAGTTAATTAATGGAACGTGGTTGACTTGGAGCGTGGAAATGTCTTGAGACCAAGCCAGGACGACATTAGGCCAAATTAGCATGTTATCAATTTTTGAAATTTCGGTCTATTACTGCTCCATTTGTTATAAGAGTTTCAAGTGATCCACGATTACAGTAGCCGAATTAATATATTATTTAAACATAAGTTTATTTTATTATATATTTTTTGGCGTCAATCTCATTCAATTTCTCAAATTCTGGACAATTGAATGATTTTTACGCCAAAATAAAACAAAGTGGTGTTAAAGAATATAATAATTTGGCGGATAATGTAATCGTGGATCTTCAACACTTCTTCCATAACTAGTAAACTTAAAAAATTAAAAATATAAAAATCCAAAATCCAAAAAGAAACTGTAATTAAAATAATAACTGTAATAAAAATATTTTACACAGTGTCAGTGTGTAATTTTTTTTTTGCGAACAGTGTCAATCTGACATTGATCGAAAAAATATGTAAAATCTAAAATCCGGTAGAATTAAAAATCAATCAATCAATTAAATCTGCCATTAATTAATTAACTATTAATTTCAATTTTTCAGTATTATTTCCCGTCATCCACTGGTCCGCGTATCCAGCCCCACCGCCGAACAACCTCCACCCATCCTACCTCAATGGCAACAATCCTTTCGGAACTGGCAGCCCCACCGCGTTTAACCAAGGTCAGTTAAAGGTTAAGTTATTATAACCATTATGCAAATATTTTGCCAAATGTTCCCACCCTTGTTGTTACTCCTTCATTTACGACTGAATGAAGATTCAATGCCACTCTCCAAATCTTAACCATTTGATTTGATTGACACATTTTAATTCATTTCCAAACAAACAAGAGTCGTTCATTGGATGCGTATTTTTAAAACTATTTTGTCTTCTCTTTGTACAAGTCATTAAGTGTGTTCATACATCGACACACAAACAAAGGAAGAGATTAATCATCACGCGATGACCATTTCAATAAAGTTATTTTTATTCTCAGCATTTTAATTATTGCTAAACTTAACTAACAATGGGACATTATTATTAAGAGTTAAATATTATTATGGAGTACACCTTGACCTTGGCCACGATATATCTCTCTCTCTACATAAATTATTATATATTATGTCATCCCATAGGTGTCTACCGTGAGTTGAAGAGATGCACCCCACCCGACGCTTGGATCCATCACAATCAAGACGTCAAGGAACCAAATTACGATTCTGTGTCGACATCGCCCACTTCGTCGTCGTCATTGTCGTCCTCCTCCTCAAATTCGTCGCCCTGTTCTCCACCGCTACCACCACCACGTCCCCTCAAGGCCCGTCCTACATGGCTCATCTTGGGGTACAAGAGTCTCGAGAAGACGCTGGACCCCATGCTCCTCGCCACCTGGAAAGACTGGACCGGAACGAGACACATTTACCTCAACCTTCGTCACGACTTTGACATCCAGCGGATCTCCTTCTTCCACAAAGTCTCGCCCCGTGACAACCTCGACCTTTTCATGTACGTCGTCACAATGGAGATCGGCAACGTGACGGAGGACAACGTCATGTGGTTGTTGGATTTCGTCCAGCGCACACGCGTCGAGCGGATGAAGGGCTATCTCACCGTGTACACGGAGGTTGTTGAGGAACGGGACACGTTTCCCATGCTGGGCGACGACTACTTCAAGTACCTGAACGTCCCCGGGGACAGGACGAGAAAGCCGGCACCACTTCCGGTCTATAATCGTCACAGGGAGGGTAAAGATGGGCAAGAATGCGACCACGAGTATGACCACCCGTCCAAAAAGTTTATTGAAAAGTTACTCCAAGAGTTGCCCCTGGTGGAGTATTACTGAAAATTTTGATGAAATGTGGACATGAAATTTACTGGCAGAATTTGCTGCATAATTCGTGCCCACAATATTCATGGGTGCTGCGACGAGTGAAATGAAATTATTATGGTTGCCAATATTTTTTTGCGTGAGGAATAAATCTGTGAATCTTAAAATCATGGTCACCTCTTTTTATTCACACAAGTTAAATGTTTAAGTATAATGTAATAATTCAGATAAATGAATGTATACGAATTATATATTGTCTTCTTCTTCTTGGGAAGAGCTGTCGTTTAAATAAATAAATAAATCTGTTCATAAATTTATTTTATGGAGTAGTTCATTTTTTAAAGAGAAAATAATTTAAAAGTTCATTAATGGATTGATTAATTAATTAATTAATAATGGGAGTATATAATGAATGACGACGAGTGGCATCTTCATGGCGGTGGCAATTTAATAAGGCACTGCTACTCTAAAACTATCTATTCTGTTTCTACCGATATAGAAAATATCAGTCGATTTAAAAATTAACTAAGTCTCTACCTATTTATTTACCACGCCATTTTGTTAAAAAGTTAAAAATCCACCATCCATCTAATTATAATAACAGTAATTAAAAATGCAGGGCGAACAAAATAATTGGTAACCATACGGTTCAACTTTTACAAACCTTTGGAATCAACACCCTTCACCAGAACTAGACGCAAAAAACGGCACCCACGGCACAAAAATAGCTACACGGCGGACATTAGGCAAAAAATGGAATTACGTGAGCACGATTGATTGATTGATTATATGATGCCGTTTTATTTTTAAAAGTATGTACTAACACATCCACCTTGTCTTTTTTTGAAAGGCAAACAGCGTTAAAAAATAGAAAAATATTGGACTAGCAAGTACATAATTTAGTTCGTTTCTGTTTTTACTTGGCTACAAATGTGCACATTAAAAAAGGCCATAATGCATATTGACCATTTATGCTGATTGAAATATGTAGAGCCAAATGGGAAAAGAGGATACCTCAAAAAAGTTTGGAATAATTTCGACTCAAAATTTTGAAAAGTTTTTAAAATAATGGAGGATGACAGTTTTTTGGAAGTATTATTTTTTTAGAAATCGTAGCCTTCATCAATTCTACGCAGACTTGTCGCTGTTGGTGTCTTCCTCGGAGTCATCCTCGTCGTGATGATATGTCAACTTGCGAGGAGTTTCTGGGCGAATGTGAGGAATTCCGACGGAAGAGCTGCGCTCGAGTATTCCGGTTTGCTGGAGTAAAAAATATGGAATAATGTGAGGTCAAGCCATGTTCATATAATCAGTTTTGTGTGTGGCTGACCTTTGGCACCACGTTGTTCATGGGTTGGATGACTGGAGTTTTGTTCTCAGAGAGGATCGAGTCCGTCGAGGTGACTCCGTCCAACATGGAAAGCTGCCTAGATCGGGAGAACATTGGAGTGTCGGCGACAAAGCTTTGCTCGTGGGCCACGGTGGACTCGTGAGGCATCTAGGAAATCAAGATTAATATCATGACGTGTAAATTCGTTATTTCATTCTAAATGTACTTTACGCTGTTGCCAGAATCGGATATTGAAAATATTAACATAATTCGTAGAATTTTGAGGAGGTGCAATCAAACACTTACCAACATGGCGGGTGCCCTGAACATGTACGAGAACGGGTAGTACATGAGATTAAGGAAGGTGGCTGCATACAAGTCCGCATACCGGACGACCTGGCTGGAGAAGAATGTTTGGCGTGACCCGGACCGGAAGAGACTGCCCAGCATGCCATAGCTCATGTCCATTTCGTGCGTTACTTCCCGGATGGCGGATCTCACCTTGGAAATGTCGGGCCGTTCGCGAGTGCTGCTGTCCAAATTTCTGGAAAAGGAGAAAAAAAACATATTTTCATTAGTAAATAAAAATTCTAATTGTGGTTCTGCTTTTTAGACAGATTCTTGCCAAATTTATGCCAATAATTTATGCATATCGACTCACTTATAAGTCTCTCCAAGCATGACGTCCAAGTTTTGCAACTTGTGAAACAATTGACACTTGTCCGTCCACACGTGGAGTTCTTGCACCAATTCTGGCACAATGAGGAAGGTGCGCCATCCCCGGATTTTCTTAGACTTCAGAATATCACCGAAAATGTGATCACCAATGTACAACACATCCTTTCCTTTGGCCTGGATGAGCTCGGTGAACACATCGCACGATCCGCCCGAGTAAACGTGTCCTTGTTTCAAAGGCCCCGTGTGGGATCCTATCTTTAAAGCGCCTGTCTTGGTATCCACTTGTCGCAGGATGGTTCCCTCCTTGAAAAAGAGTGGCTTTCGCGCATCCAGCAAAATGCAATCAAAGTAAGTCTTCCAATCTCGGTGGGGATCGGTTATCTGGAAGACGAAATATATAAAAATATCAGTCTCATCTGTCCTCCAAAATAACTCTGGCAGTCTGGCCTAATTCACACCACCTGTGTAACCTTGTACTGCAACGTATTAAACCGTGTTTGGCAACGTACACGTAACGTTTAGTTTACACAGACATGGCATGGATTTATTCAGTATTTTTATTTTCACGACACTACTCATATGTCACTCTACTCACCTGTGGACCATGATCAAAGTCGAAGAGATATGTCATTATTTTCTGCGTATACCAATATTCGGAATTAGTTAGGAGGAATACTTTCGCACCAGATTCACGAATACGGCTCAGTAGCATGGGCAAACGCTCGTCCTTCACAACGTAGTATTCCATGTCTTCAACCGTCTTCTTTTTCAGATCGCCCTAATAACACAAAAAATAAAATCAACGTAATTTCTCATCCCACTAATTTTACTTTGTTCCATAAACTACCTTCTCATGGACCCAATCCACCGCATTTCGCACGTCTTGGAAGATCGACTTGTATGACATGAACAGATCGCCGCATCGAACACCTTTATGCTCCCTACAAAACAAAAAGAGTACAAATGAGTAAAATTTTAATGCATCAGATCATTCATTATTATGTAACGGAACATTTTTCGAACTCATCCAGTAAAGCTACCTCATTTTAATATTTTGTGTATGTACATGAGAGCGAATTATTAACCCCTCGACAGCACTCATTATTCCGCTATATAATTAATGAACGATCCTACTACATAAATTCTTATGACCACCACTCACGTCACACTGTCGGGGACATTGGTAAAGAAATCGACCAAACATGCCAATAAATAAGTCTCAGGTAGGTTGAAGAGCGTGTTCAACACATACGTTCGACTCTCATCCAACTGGATAAACTTGTTCGGGTACAATTCGTAAACTTCAGATCTAAATAAAAAAAATAGAGTCATAAAACCGTAAATTCATAAAAAATGCTTTAGAACTTAAAAAATTTCGTAACTCACTGCTTCAAAAACTGGAATCCGTGACAGCAAACCAAAATATTGCCGTATGCATCAACCTTGAGCAAGTTTCCGTATAAAGAATCAAACCAGAGGCCTCTGATAGAATGAATGAATGAAGAAAACAATTAGATAACTAAGATAACTAATTATTGCTATAATTATGCAAATTATGTAACCAGTTAAACTTTGATATGGGATAAACAGCATTTATTCCATATCGTCATTTATATCGTTGTTTATTTATATCGTTTATCTCTCATCCCTTATCTTGACACAATATCGTTACCTAATGGGGAAGGAAGGATCGTAAACAAATTCCTGAATCTCATTTGGGTATCCCATAGCGGCCAAGCGGTCCTTGACCAGATTGAAGCCAAGATTTTCATATTGCGGTGATTTGTAAACTGTACAAAAAAATTAGACTAATTAGAAATTAAGCTTCAGTTTAACTAATATACATATTTATTTATTTATTTAAATACCGGCCAGGGTGTAATCCATGTCGAATCCATAAAACTTGATTTTGTCCAAATGAAGACTTCGATTTACAAAAATCCTGAAATAGGTACAAAATAATTATAAAAAATGGATTAAAATTTTATAAACATAAAAACAAAATTGAACACTTTTCACTAAATATATTTATTCATTCCCATTTCAATGTGACAATTTAATCCCAATTTGATTACCATTATTAATTAATGAACCAAGACCCTATAAATATCTAGCCCAAAATTATTATCACCTTCACCTTAATTAATTCCTAATCTCGAAGGCCAACACAAACAAACCCGAATCAACCAGAAATCAATTAAATTCCCAAAACCCAATCCCCCGATAATACTGAATTGCCACTAATAAATAATGGAAATAAACGATAAACCCACCACCATATCATTAATTCCATCCCATATGTATACATCATAAACCATATGAAATGTTTTCCTGACCGCTTCCATTCGTCCATTCCATTACATGGATAATAAATAACATCTCATTCATTCCACTTAAACACACGTTCCTCACGTGTCAGTCAATAAGTAGACGCCACATGTCATGAAAAAAAAACATAATAATAAAATGATGCAATTTCTACCTCCAAAAAATCGTTAAAAATTTGCCAACCAAACCAGTCGTAAAAAAGAACCCTTTTTCAAAGTAAATAGCCCACCTGTGTCCCAAGTTTCGCTCGTCGGCCACATTGAAGGCATCCAGAAGGAGGGACTCATCCTGAAAGGGACTCTTCCCCCCCACACCCCCAGCACTATTATGGGTCATCACATTTCCCCAAGGTCGTGACCCCCCGGGAGGAAACGGGGATACGTACGGACTCTCAGGAAAGGAGTCCGACTCGGACAAAGAAGCCGCCGAGGGGAGAACTCCATTATTGTTGTTTTTTGGAATAGGCACGGTATCCGAGTCTGGCATTGTATTGTTTTAATCGATAACACCTTATCTTATTTATTGACACTTGGTGGACGACACTCGCGAAGAATAAGAAACTAGGCAAATAATACAAATCCTTTTTTCCAACAGGAGTCAGTCACTTCAATAAAAAATTTAGTTGGTTGCCTATGGTTTTTTTTATTATTATTAATATTTTTCGGACTGTTCTCGCTCAATAAATAAATGCCCGACACCTACTTTCTACTACTTTCTACCACCGAAAAACACACGGGTAGGCAGACAGGCAGTGGCAATGTCTACACTAACAAGACTCGGGCTTTTCTCCGGAAAATGTACCCTTCTCTCTCTCTCCCACACTCTCTTGCGATGAGGAGATGGTGAGAAAATACGCAGACGACGACTATTTATTCGCAAGCAAGCAAGTAAATACGTATCAAAAAATGTGCGGCACGATTGTGGACGATGTTTCCGTGGGGAAGGCTACGAGAAGACTGAACACACTGGCAGGAGCCTTCCCAGTCTTATGCTGCTGATTCACGTAGTCAACTAACTGCACCAAGCAACCAACTAGCAAAAATGAGGATGAGACTAATAAAATGTGAGACGGGTGAGACGCAGTTAGTGGTTTTGTTTCGCGTATTCATTTCCAATGGAATTTCGTGGATTGGATTAAAAGATGAATCTTTTTGCACCTGCCTTTTTGCATCAGGGAATCATGAAATTGAGGCACGTATTTTTTATTTTTTTCCGTATAATCATCACCGTTTTTTGGTGTTCGGGTCGTGTTGTCGTGATAAGGGGGCCAGTGTCAGTGGGAAAGATAAGCGACGACATGATAAGGCTGGGAGGATAATGATATTACATATTTTATGACTTGGTCAGGTTCAATAAGCTCATCAGGATTGGAATTCTCTCACTTTTTGCGACTGGGTGGGAAGCATGCATTAATTATGTGAGGGGAAGATTAATCCTGGCCCTCGTGTCGTGGGGGTGTCGACGATGGGAGGAAATTTCAGAAGTGGGAATTCTTTATTAATGAACGGTCCCCCCGCGACTGAATAAGTAGCCAATTTAAAAACAGGAGAGACTGGTTGACCACGAGTACATTTATATTGCTTTTTTATTCTTTTTCTCTCTATACGGCTGCTCAACTGGTCAATTTATTATTTAAATCTGAGGAGTTTGAAGAGGATAATATTTACGGAGAGTCCGATGTGACACGTAACGTGTACGGTGGCATATTGACCAAATTGATCAAACCAATTGGACAAGAAAAAATGGACGACATCATGGAAAGTTTTTTGGGATATGTAACAATACAAGTCACAAGTGGTACATATATATCTTGGTTTTTTAGGTGGCCTTGCACCCACAAATGCATCGATTCCCATGTTGTAGGTTAAAATTAGAGGTGTAAGTGAGGGAGAGAAATTGCATGCAAGTAATTAATGTTGTTTTGCAAGTTGATATCAGGACGCCATGTGATCCATTGATAACTTATTAACTTGGGTAATGATATGAATAACATCTGCAGCTGGAATTTTGTAATCAGAGAGAGAGAGAGATCCACTTACACTTTTTTTTAGGGTTGAACTTGACCATGCGAAAAAATAGCGTTCTCTATCAGGACTGGAAACAATAATTTAAATGTCCATGCATACATAACCCACTCCACTTTATTACACTTAATCAGAGGAGATGAAACTGAATGACCTGGTGACATTGATACCGGGCGTTGCCACTTGATGATAATGTAATTGGTTCAAGTCTTAAATTTATTTTATTGCAAAAAAAAATTGCGAAAAATATGAAAAAATGGCAGTGGAAAAAAATTTAGTTGAATATTTGATCCAATAAATTTTGAAAAATTGTAAGAGTTTTACGCCAGATTTTAACAAAAAATTCCATCTTCCCAACTTTCCTGACATTGCGTCATATTTTTCTCCACTTCAGTCTCAACCTGACAAGACAAATATTGCATAATCGTCATGATTCCAGCCTCCTTTTTCAGCTGGGATTTTAATCTCAGTACATATGTATTGACTAATAATGACTGAAAAACATGCCCCAAATTGTCATCATTCTCTGTCACGTCGTGTCAAACAAACCTCCTCCAGAAGTCACCAATCAGAACGAGTGTTGTTCGAACCAACCCTAATTTCAGGATTAAGAAGTTAAGTATGGATTAAAAAGGATTTAACGACAACAACAAGTTTGACATGCTACATACAATCTTATCTTCGACTCTTCCCCTTCTTCTTCCTCCTCTAAATAGTTAAATACATATGTAGTTATTGGGAATGTGCAGAAATTACGAAAACTTGAATTTTTTGCCCCGACACCTCTTTTTTAACGTGGGGCGCAAATGGAGACATTTTCGCACTTACTGAACGCCCCATTTTATTAAATGTTTACTCAAGTTCATGGGATAAATTAGAAACGACGACGACAACTCAGTCACCCACCCACCCACGACATGGATGGATGGATGGATATCACGCCATAACCCGATAAAAACAAGCACCCAACCAACTAACCTGTCATGTGGGATAAACATGTTATTTTTTAATTTGGTCGCTCTGTTCTGTTTTCTGGGGACAAATCCGTGACATAAGTTACACCGCATGACACGAATAATCCGTTATTCACCACGGACGGATATTGAAATTAAACTTTTTACGGCTGCTGCTGCTCCACTTTGACACCCAATTTCTAGCCGTTCCAGCAAATAAAGAGATTAAACTTTAATACGTGTGTGCATATATTTATTTATGACAGGACAGCCCTGGTCTTAATATGGGAATTAAATCGAGAAAAAAATATATTAACCTTGTGACCTGGAAATTAAAATGAGAAACAAACAACAACAACAAATTCTTTTCCGTGTCGTGTTGAGAAGATGAAAAATAAGAAATGCATGCATGCATGCAAATCCTGTCAAATATGACTTCAAGTCATTATGCAATGGGAATTATGACAAGAAATTTTTCAGGATGGCATTTTCGTGGGTATCGATAAGACAAGTTTCCCTGTAGAGAAATAATTGTGATAAGCCACGACGGTTTGTGGTACTTGCAATCTTCTACATACATAGTTAAGAAAGTGGAATTGAGTCAGAAAAAAGATACAAAACAGACGTTGTCTTGTACGTCTATATTCTGTCTTGTTATTATATTAATATGGGACACATGGTTTAAGACGACATGAAAAAATGGGGGCCTCGTGCCAACAAATGTCAGCCGGAGAGTGGATGTCTTTCGAAAGATCGGCCAGGTGCACAAGTCCACTATTTTTTTAACCCACTATTAATAAATGTAGCCTATTAGATGCTTACATACATATTTGTGAAATGTGCGCATTTGCATATCTCCAGATTTTGTACCACGATAGGGATAAGTAGGCCTAGGTCGTGTGTGTATGTAAATATTTGTTGTCGTCTTCATGCCAAATAAAAAAAGAAGGATGGGAATAAAGTGCAGATTTGTGCATGAAATGAGACCAGTTTCTCTCATTCAGTGGATGAGGAGACTTTTTCATGAGAAAATTAAAGTGTGAGTAAATAAATGGGAACGATATACAGAATTTGCATACATATGCAAAAAAAATTCATAAAGATTAAGATTTTACGAACTACATATACGAGTTAGTCACTTTGTAGGTAGGGTAGATTTTGCAATAGGAAAATATTATTGCGGAAATGGACAAGCTAAATTCCGTGAATATTTATCACGCCACCAATGTAAATTAATTCGAGTGTATATAAACATTTCTAAAATTGGGTTCCATGAATCGATTATGTGGATGTGCCACATTCCAAATATTTATTTACCCTCGTGCTAAAAAATGGCGACAGTAAATTCAATTAAGTAAATGAAAAGCAACTCACCTCTTGTGCGCTTCACGGTAAAATTTCCGTGAAACGAGGCCCCCCGCACCGCCGTTCATTTCCTGCGAATAAACCTCCTCCCTCTGCGAACTCGAGTAATTACTGTAACAGTCGGAACTGCCATCAAAGCCGAAACCAAAACTGTTATTGACACCGCAATTATTATTCGAATTTTGGGTAGAAGCAGAACCAGTAGTAGCAATGTCGACGGGCCGCGTGGTGTGGGAAGATTGATCCGATGACGATGATGATGCCATTGTGCGATTCGAACTCATTCTTGTTCCGATTTTTCGGATCGAGTTTAAATAAGATTGAGATCAGTGAGAGAGATTCTCTAACCAACTTGGATGGGTTGTTGAATTGTCAATCGCACTTTTGCTCGTCTAGTCAGGCACGAGATGAGAATGAGAATAAGAAGAAGAAGACGGTTTCGTTGAGGCGTGTAGTACATAGGAGGCTGATGATATCGTGTTTTAGATAAGCAGCAGAGGTCTGGTGGGTGACGTTTAGGTCTTGACTTTTACCAGAACAGAGAAGAAGATTAAGAATTTTGCATACGTGTTCAAGTCGGAAAATGGTTTGTGGTTGGAGAAGTGATGATCGTCTTTATACGTACGTAACAGTATGTCAGATAGTCATGTCAATAATGTATGCATGCGGCGGACAAAAGGAGACGACCTACTTATATGTACACGTATTGTGGATGGATGGATACATAGTTTAATACTGTAGTCGGAACAGTTTAGTAGGAACGTATCATCGTCATATCTCTCTTACCCGGGAGAAGATATAGACCCGAATTTACCAAACCTTCCTTCCACACAGGCAGACAATTATAAGAAAAAAATATATTTACTACACAATACCCTGGGAGCTAATAGGCAAGCTAATATGCATACAAAGTTACTGCATCCTGTCTCATGTTTCCATTCTCAAGTCAATTCTTCAGAATGAGAAACATGAGACGAGAGAAAGGTGAGACTCATTTCTTTCCATTTCTCAATTCCACCTACGACTTACGACAATGACCAACACAACATAACAAAATTGATTCACAACAATGGAAAACTTTTAACAATAACAATAACACCATTTCCACCACCACCACCACCACCATTATGTAAATAATAATTGCACAATTATTATTATTATTTGCGGAGGAATGTCTCACCTTTTATGAAATCGCATCCTCATTGAAACCATTATCCGATCATCATCGTCCTCATCACTTTATCATGACGATGCACAATGAACAAAGAGAAGGCGGCATCCACGTGGCACGTTTCCAAACCTTATCAACCATCCCACCAACTAATTAATTGAGATAATTAATTAACTAAGTTTTCTTGATAAGCCTGCCTTATCTGGGTGACCCCTCGTACAACAAGTTTTTCTCCTCGGCGCGGGTGAGATGTCGCTGGTGGTGGTGGAGGTGGGGCGTCGCGCGTGTGTTTTAGTCGGCCAGGTGGCGAGAGGTGCAGTGTTGCTGTGTCCAACCCATGTTAGTTGGTTGGTTGGACTTGGTTTTGGTTGGTGAAGCCAGCACAACGAGTAGAACGAGGAAGGAGGAGCAGCGACAGGCGAGAAAGAAAGGTGTTCTTCTTCTCCTAAAAATTTGGACTATTTCGACGGTATAAATTGACTCAGTGAAACCACACCCACGAAGAAGAGGAAGGATAAGACGACGACGATAACAACGACGACAGTTATCAGCAGCAGGTTAGGTCTTGTCGAGGAACCACTCGACACCCATTATTATTCAGCCAGGAGGAGGAGGAGGGGAAAAAGAAGACAAAATTGACAACGAGAAGGAACTTGTTGAGATAGGAAGAGGTCTTGCTCTTCTCGAATTGACGACCACGGCGACGACGACGACGACGACTGACAAGAAAATGGAGACGGACAAGTTGGTGGAGGAGATTTGTCAGGTGAGTGGGTTTTTTTGAAGTTTTTTAGGAGGGGAAGGATTTTTGGTGTGTGACGTTTTTTAAAATTTAAATCGTCACGATTTAAATAATTTCAGTCTCCGATGCAAACTTTGCTGAGTGAGGAGTCCATGAGTGAAATTTCTGAAGATTCATCATCAAATCGGGAATTGTCGGCAGGATATTTGTCCGAGAGAGAAAAGGCTTTCGTCATTTTTGACAATTGGACGGAGGTTGACCAGGTCGACTTTTTGGAGCAACTTCTCTGCCGCATGTGTCATTACCAGCACGGGCAGATTAATGAATTTCTCACCCCAATGTTACAACGGGATTTTATTACTCTGCTGCCAAGTAAGGATGACTTTTTTTAAAAGAGGATAATGAACGTTTTTTATTTATTTAAATTTTTATTTTTTTGTCGTGTCACAGAAAAAGGACTGGATCACATTGCTGAATCTATTTTATCATATTTGGATGCAAAGTCATTATGTTCGGCTGAGATGGTTTGCAAAGAGTGGAATAGGGTCATCTCTGATGCCATGCTTTGGAAAAAGTTGATTGAACGTAAAGTTCGAACTGATACTTTGTGGCGAGGTTTGGCGGATCGGAGAGGATGGTGAGAAGAACTATTCACTTTTTGGGTGATATTATCAATTACGGATTTTAATTATTGTTATATTTTTGTAGGAGTTGTCATCTTTTCAAACCTCGAATGGGACAAGCACACCCTGAAAATAGCTTTTATCGAATTCTCTACCCACGAATTATTGCTGACATTCAAGTAAGTTGGTAAAATTAGGTGTAAAATATGATGTGAGCAATTGGTTAAAATTGTGGTTATTTTGTAGGGGATTGAAAACAATTGGCTGAAAGGAGACCCCAACCTCCAGTTGATCAACTGTCGCTCGGAAAACTCAAAGGGAGTCTATTGTCTTCAGTACGATGATGGAAAGATTGTCTCAGGGCTACGTGATAACACGATCAAGATTTGGGATCGACACACGCTTCAGTGTACAAAGGTATTTAATCAAATCAAATGGTTGTATTTATTGCGAGTAGTTGCAACTTAATTAATTAATTGGGTTTGTTTGTGTTCAGGTGCTTACTGGTCATACAGGGTCCGTCCTGTGCCTTCAGTATGACGAGAAGGTGATCATTAGTGGATCAAGTGACTCCACTGTTCGTGTTTGGGACGTGAAGACTGGTGAAATGGTCAACACACTGATTCATCATTGCGAGGCTGTTTTGCATCTCCGCTTCAACAATGGGATGATGGTTACTTGTTCCAAGGTAGGTTAAATTTACAATATTCAATGCATGCATCTAGGCCAAAATAGTATTCGAATAATTTATAAAAAATCGAAAGGTCAAGACGAAATCCAATTGATAAATGTTTGCACAATTGATGCTTTAATAATATTTGTAAAGGTGAGTACTCAATTAACCAAATTTTTGCATTATAATGTTTTAGGATCGTAGCATTGCCGTTTGGGACATGGTCTCCGCCACCGATATCAATCTTCATCGTGTTCTCGTTGGACACCGGGCAGCTGTGAATGTCGTCGATTTTGATGAGAAGTACATCGTCTCCGCTTCTGGTGATAGGACCATCAAGGTAAAGATTCAAAATAATTTTTTAGTCGTACAAATATTATAACAATTATGGTTACATTTCGACTTTAACAGGTCTGGAATACGAGCTCATGTGAATTCGTGCGCACTCTGAATGGCCACAAGCGTGGAATCGCTTGCCTCCAGTATCGAGATCGTCTCGTTGTAAGCGGAAGTTCTGACAACACTATACGGTATGCAGTACTATTTTATTCTTATTTACATGAACGAGAGATAGATGGACGTTGATTAGAATATGAATGTAAGTCATCATGCTTATTTGTAGGTTGTGGGACATTGAGTGTGGTGCTTGCCTCAAAGTTCTTGAAGGCCATGAAGAGCTCGTTCGCTGTATTCGTTTCGATAACAAACGTATCGTGAGTGGAGCTTACGACGGGTAATTATAAAATATAATTCTTTATATTTATTAGCGCCAAGTTTTATAAATAGTGTGAATTCATATGATATGAAAGTTTACAAAGTTATAAAGCTTTGAATATTACCTTACTATTTTTCATGATTTGAATAAGTTTTAAATATTTTTGTTTTACTTTTTTCTATTTATAGTAAGATAAAAGTTTGGGATCTCCAGGCGGCACTCGATCCACGAGCACCCGCTTCTTCTCTTTGTCTTCGGACTCTTGTGGTACGTCTCATGAATTTAAATATTATCTGCTCTTACATAGATTTTAAAGCAGCTTTTCATCATAACCTATCTTCGCATGTTAACTAATCCCAATTTGTTGTCCTATTTTAGAAACACACTGGCCGCGTGTTCCGACTGCAGTTTGATGAATTCCAGATTGTGAGCAGCTCTCACGACGACACTATCCTAATTTGGGATTTTCTCAATTTCGAACAAGCTGAAGCCCCTGCACCACGTCGACCTGAGGACGAAATGACGAATGCGCAATGAAAAATTAAAATAAATATAAAATTCTACATGACACTTTTTGTTGTAAAAAACGAAATATCCAAGTGGGTTTTTCACGCGTGAAATCGATTTCTGTGAAAATTCCACTGAAAATTCCACTCGAACGTATCCACGTCGATTACCGAAACAAATCGACTGGAGGAAATCACGTCAGAAAATATCTCCCGGAAAGAATCTCCAATGAATATAATCACATATGGAAAGAACCACCTATGGAAAAAGTTACCAGAGCAAAAAATTGTCTATGGAAAAGATCACTAAATTAATTTTACTTTAAATAATATAAAATAGAGTAGGCGGACTTTGTTGAATTCCTGTAAGGTTAATTTTTTTTAAAACTTTTGTACTTAGGAGGAAATCTTCACTACTTGCCACCCTCAGATTTAGATGCCCTTTGGATACGTTATAGTATCCCATGAGTGAAAAATGACCCCCAGGTTGTTTGATCTCATGGCCACATTTGCGCTCGCCACACTCACTCAAATGGGCAAGAATTACGAAAATCAACCTCTTCAAGCGCTCGCCCAAAATCCAATTTTGTTCAGATTTTGAAAATGCTTGCACCATTGTACTCCAAAATAGTTCTATCATACCCAATATCAAACTCAAGTTTTTTTACATTTTTTAATATTTTTGAAAATTTGAAAAAGTCGAGTTTGATATTGTATATGAGAACGGAGTATAATGGTGCAAGAATTTTCAAAACCCCAGTAAAATTAGAATTTCTGTGAGGGTTTGGACCAGTTAAAAATCTGAGGATCCCGTGGCAAATAGTGAAGATTTCCTCCGGTGTGCAAAAGAGTGAAAAAATGAACCTTACAAGAAAACAAAGTCCGTCCACTCTTTTTACATTACTTACAGTGAACCTATAATTTATTAATTTTGTGAGTTTTTCCACTGATGATTTTTTCCATTGGAGATTCTTTCCGGAAGCATTTTCTTATGTGATACCAATCGTCCAAGTGAGTTTTTCCGGTTATGACCCAGGTCAGCAATGAAAAAGTGGTGGAATTTTACCCCAGTGAGAATTTCACAGATTTACAATACGAGTGAAAAAAAGTAATGAAACGGAGGGGTAATATTCCACAGCAATGAAATGAAATTGCAGTGAAAAGTCATGCCGAGTTCACATTTTTTGCAATTCTCCCCTGCTGATTGAGTTTATTTGTACCAACAATATTTATAATAATTGAATAATATGCGTAAACGGACTATTTAGTGGAAATTCGAACGAAAAGTTTTGACTTTATTTTCTCATTTATAATATTTATATTTAATAATTGTTTTCTTGACCAATACTGATGCAGCCGCCAGTGAAGTAATTTATTCCTCAATTCCAGATTCCATTAAACACGCTTGATTGAAATGAATTTTTAATAATGATTATTTAATTAAATTGGGAATTTAGAAAACCTTGTAAATTTTATGATACAAAACAAAATCAGTATTTAAATAACTGTTGGTGTTTTTTGGAATAATAAATATGATTTTCGCGGACTGTAAGTCCACTTTGAGACATTTTAATCACACTGACTTTAGATTGACTCGTATAGAATTTCACAAATATGAAAAAATTTTAACCAAATTTAATTTCTGTCAAATTTCTCACTTGAATAATAGGCTTATTGCATTGAAAAATTTGTTTCACATATGTTTTTTTAGCATAAATAATTTCGTTTTTTGCGAAATCTACACATCACTTTTTACCAAAATGAGACATGAGATTTGGGGTAAAATGAGCAAAATTCCAGACCGTCATTAGTTCAGCACAACAACAGACGAAGATTCGCAGATTGCAAAATTTATCGTGATAATTTATCAATATTTTCTAATTTATTTAAAATAGTTTCTTTTCTATGTAAGAAAACAATTACTTTAAAAACTTAGTTTGAATAAGTTTTAATTTTGCTCAAAAAGGTAACCGAATGCAAAGGCAAACACAAAGTTGTTAGAACTTATTGTTAACGGATAGAATGAAATGATTACATTTTGCCGACTTAAAAACATATTGTGATTTAAAAAATTGTCAAGATAAGGTAAAACAGGATGGAGTCAGCCTCCTCCCCATCGTCATCTTCGACAACGGCGACAAAAGAGGGTGGTAAAAAGTCTTTCATGTGCGGTGTGGTTGAAGGTAGGTTGTTCTCGTTCGTAGGTACAGATTGTGCGACGTCACAAGGTCATGCCGATAAAAATGTATGTTATCTTTATTCACCAGGATTCTACGGTCGACCATGGACTACGGAACAGAGAAAAGATTTATTCATCAAGTAATGTCGCGAGATCATCAACTTCAATTTAATAAACTAATTAAATTATTTAATATACTTGTAGGATGCGAAAGTGGGGGATGGATTCGTACCTCTACGCCCCCAAGGACGACTACAAGCACCGTTTCTACTGGCGAGAACAGTACACTGTTGAAGAAGCCGATCATCTCGGTAGTCTCATCTCCGCCGCTAAAGATAACGACATTACGTTCATCTACGCCATCTCTCCCGGGTTGGATATCGTCTACTCCAGTGCGAAGGATATAGCTGTGCTAAAACGGAAGCTGGAGCAGGTCTGGTGCTTTGTAAAGTTCGATTTGATTATGATTTCCTTCATTTTTTTGCAACTTCTCCTACAGGTCACTCAACTGGGCTGTACCGCATTCGCCATCCTCTTTGACGACATTGACATTGAGATGACGAAAGCGGACAAGGAAATGTTCAAGTCCTTCGCGCACGCTCAAGTCTCCGTGACGAATGAGGCATTTCAACACGTAAATCCGGATACGTTCCTCTTTTGCCCAACACAATATTGTGCGACGAGGGCGGTGCCGAATGTGGCAGGGTCTGAATACTTAAACACAATTGGGACCAAGTTGGACTTACAGATTGATATTATGTGGACGGGTGGGTGTGCTGCGAAGGTGGGGTGGGAATTTTGAGAAAATTTGATATATATAATTTTGATATTTTTTACAGGGCCGAAAGTTATCTCGAAAGATATCACGTTGGAATCGATTGATGAAATTACGGAAGTTCTTCGGTATGAGCGAAATCAAAATTATGTATTTCATGTTTTGTAACTGTGTATATTTTGTAAAGTTGGGAAAACATTTACAAAACTACGCTACCCTTTTTACATCCTTTTCACCAATCTCTTAGTTTCGTTGCCCAAAAAATTAGTTTTCAGAAGACTACAATCTTAGCCTGAGTTTAACTCTTATATAATTTTTGTGCAGACGTCCCCCCGTCATCTGGGACAATCTTCACGCAAACGACTATGACCAAAAACGATTATTTTTGGGTCCTTACGCCGGTCGATCTCCGCACCTCATCCCACGACTGCGTGGCGTTTTGACAAATCCTAACTGTGAATATGGCGCTAATTTCGTTGCAATTCATACCCTTGCACAGTGGCGATTTTGTACCGAAGATGCAAGAAAGAAGATGGGTGAGTACCTACTTGTTATCCAACTTTTATTCTTTCCTTTCCGAGATCCAAATTAAGTGACACATGTTCATTCTCATTATCAGAATCACTCAATTATGATGCCAAATTGGAGACTGAAAATGACGAAGCTTTAGATCGGAGCTTAGTCCCGGAAAAAATGGATGCGAACGTGTATCACCCCTACAACGCGTTAAAGGTGGCTATCAAGGTGTGTTTGTTAGTGTAATTCACAATTAAAGAAAAACTTGGTAATTTATTGCAATCTGATATATAGGAATGGCTCAAGGAGTTCAATAAGGGTCGCAACGTTTGGGGTCCAATCGTGAAACCACAAATCGTTAGCGTACCAATCCCCTTGATACCGTCGATGAATACATGCATCGCAGTCACTCCGACGACAATGTCATCCCCGATTCAGTCCACGTCGCATCCCAGCCTCATCCCTTCCCTTGTACCCAGCGTTCCTACCGTCAACTGTAGTGCTCTCGACCTCACCGCAATGCTGGAAGTATAATCAAATGTCAATTTCAAGGAATTTTCTCCTGTGAATAATTCTCTAATAATTTTTTCTCTCTCAGAATCGATCCGAGCAACTCATCCCATCTACTAGCACGACAATGATGAACAGTCTTGTGGCGGATGACAAGGTTTGTTGGGTACAAAATCAATCTGGTCCTTACTGATCTGGTTAATTCGAGTAGTTTCTATAAATTTTATACGAGTTTGCAAACTAATCAACCTTACAAAGTATCAATCGTGAGCTCAGAAGGCGGCTATATTTCAACATTTTCTCAAAAAATATATTATATTTAAATAGCTTTACTGTTGGTAGTAATCCTAAAAAGCCAAATACAGAATACGAAATGATCGGATCAAGATCAGAGTCAAACTTCGATTATATTTTAAAGTATGTACTTACAACTTATCAACCCTGGTATATAGCATTCTCATTAACTATTTTCAGATCCTTCGTGCCGACTCTGGTGAAGCAGTCGCACCCGTCACGGTTGATACGGATCTTCACCCTCACACAGCTCCCTCCTCTGAATCTGACATGACTGAACTTCCTTTAAACAAGGACAGCAGTAATAAATCCTCTTCATCCGACATCGAGTTGGAATCTATACCTCCGGCGAACAGCCTGATTAGTCATGGGGGATTGGAACCTATGGATACAGCCACACCACCAATCCCATCCTCCCCACGGGGAGAGGAGGACGCCGCAAGTTCGGAGAGGGAGGACGTCGCCATGGCTGAAGGATCGGATCGGGCCAGTGTAAGTGATCCCTATCAATTCATAATAAAACTTGTTAAGATAGATATATACAATGAAATAGTGTTTTTTTCGGCGTCCAACGATTATCAAGTTGGATGGCTTAAGATTTGCGTAGTAAGATTTGCCAAGTAATACTACCAACTGACGTTAGTTAATGCAAGAATTAGTGAAAAATACTAAATAGTATAACATTCTGACAAATATGGGTTTACTAATTTATCCTGGTTCGGGCTAAGCAAAGCCGTAGTGATAGGTTTTCGACTATTTAGCCACTGCTTTGGATTTAAAGGTCAAATTTATAAAATCTTTTATCGCAAAACTAAAATTTCTAATATTACTTGTGTAATATTACGGATTCGTTAGATAAACCTGTTAGGAAGGGAAGTTCCATTAAATGTCACGCTGGGTAACATGGGCCGGATAGGAAAAAATTCCTGTCTTACCAATATTAGCCAGCGTGACCTCATTACTGGAGCTTCACATATCCGGAATTTTGAAAGCAATACACAATTTTGTTAGCAATTCGGAATTTTGTTAGCAATGCAAGATTTTGTTAGTGCCGCATGGACATGCCCTGGTAGCACAAACTCGGGAAATACACGGGAAAAACACCAGTCCGCGGACACGAAATCTCGTGGTTAACACGTGAAGATTTGGTGTAAAAGATGGTGAATATTGGGGGTTATTGTCGCCGTTTTGCGGTGTCAGACTCGTGTAAAATTCGTGTATAACACGTGTCTAGGCCAGAAATAATACGTGTAAAACTCGTGTTATTCTCGTTTATAATTAGGGTATAAACTCGTTTAATTTTCGTGTTTATGCATGAAATAAACACGTGTTTTACGCTAAATAAACACCGAGAATTGCCACAATTTTTCCCGTTCATGACATGCCTTTATTTCATTTTAATTATTTAAATTAATCATAACAAACAGAGAACAATGATTAATGGTTAAAAATTATATGTCATCCGACTCCTCATGATTAATAAAGTCTGATCCACCATCGGAAATTGTCCCAGCGCTATGATTTGACACATTAGATTAATATGAATATAAAATTTAAAATTTAACGGGATTTAATTATTGTATTCACATACATATCAGCACAATGATTTTTCTTCAACCGTTTTGCTGCTGCTTTCAAATATTCCTTAATTACGGCTTCCATCTCGTCATCTGTCACTGCCTTTGATGGTAAACTTTGACGAACCGTATCTAAAATATTCAAAGAAAAAATTAACGTGACCTTCCACTATTAAACGTGGTGTTGTTTCAGATAGGTATTATACGCGTTAGGTTTAAAATATTCTTGTATTTCTTAAATCGCGTTGCATAATTATTTTGCGGATTGATGCTACCCAGTCAAACGCGCAGTATTGTCCGGGTGGTACATTAATAACTGCTGTCGCCCTCGGGGTATGCAATAAAGTCCTACTATCAAGGGGCAGGTACTTAAAACAATGATGGCCATGAAGAAGTTTTAACAGGTCACTCGTTGCGGAAGCGGTTATGTTATGACTTATTGTCCAACTTCTTAGCTTATCACTTAAATCGGTGACTGATTCACAATCAATTTCGGTGCTCGTACTATTAACACTTGACACTGATTTCACACTCGAAGCACTATCACTTTCAACCTCAAACCTGTCGACTTCAGCTTGGGACGAATATAAAGTTTCGTCGACTGTTGAAATTTCCAAGTTTTCCGTTAAATTTGGTGACACAGTATTTATAACTAAATTAAAGTCAGCTACAGCGCTGCGAACTTGCCTTTGCATCTGTCTATCTCGGGATTTTTTCATTTTCAGAAATATGTAATTAATTAAACTTAAAATAAATTGTTATCATAAATCCACAAAAATCTTGCCGTGTCTGTACTGTGCTTTATTAAGTTTAGCGGTGGAGGCAACATTTGGAAAGAATAACTAAACACCATTTTAACACGTTTTTAACACGAGTATTTCCCTGACTTGGTTACCAAAAATACACGAATATGAAACACGAGTTTTGCCTTGGAAAATACACGTGTTTTGTAACACAGTGGATTTTGGTGTTTTGCAACAGAGAAAAACACGAGTATCCAAAATATTTTACACGAATTTGACACGAACCCCAGATTGCCACGACTTTACCCCAATCGAGCACGTGTATTTCTCGGTCTGTGCAGCTAGGGTGGACTTCTTATGCCAAATTTCATGCAAATCGGCTTAGAAAAGGCGAAATTATGGCATGGCGACGAAATCTGGCGAAAACAAGGGGGTGGCGGTGGGTGAGACCTTGCGACATGTCGATAACACCAAAAAGAAGTCTTTGTCGAAGTTTGATGGAAATCGGACTAGAAATGGCGAAGTTATGGCATGGCGACGAAATTTGGCGAAAACGAGGTGGTGGCGGTGAGTGTGACCTTGCGACATGTCGATAATACTAAGAAGGAGTCTGTCGAAGTTTGATGGAAATCGGACTAGAAATGGCGAAGTTATGGCATGGCGACGAAATTTGGCGAAAACGAGGTGGTGGCGGTGAGTGTGACCTTGCGACATGTCGATAGTACTAAGAAGGAGTCTCTGTCGAAGTTTGATGGAAATCGGACTAGAACTGGCGGAGTTATGGCATGGCGACGAAATTTGGCGAAAACAAGGTGGTGGCGGTGAGTGGGAGCTTGCGACATGTCAACAACACCAATAAGAAGTGTCTGTCTAAATTTGATGTAAATCGGACGAGAAATGGCGAAATTATGGCATGGCGACGATATTTGGCGAAAGCAAGTGGGTGGCGACGGGTGGGACCTTGCGACATGTCAACAACACCAATAAGAAGCCTTGTGCTAAATTTCATGCAAATCGGCCGAGAAATGGCGAAATTATGGCATGGCGACGATATTTGGCGAAAACAAGGAGGTGGCGGCGGGTGGGAGCTTGCGACATGTCAACAACACCAATAAGAAGTGTCTGTCTAAATTTGATGGAAATCGGCCGAGAAATGGCGAAATTATGGCATGGCGACGGAAGATGTCGCCATGCCATAAAGTGGGGGGAGCTGTTGGCCGCCCTAAAAAGGGCGTTTCCAGAGCACACGACGAGGACGTCGCTCCCTCGTGCTCCACGCGGGTCGGCCCCCATGGACGCCCGAATGCGTCCGCGGACGTCTACCTCCACCGACCGGGAAAGCCCTGCCCACGTCACCGCCTCTGCAACCGCGTTCCCCTAGGGGCCCGTCTGACCCTCGCCTTACGAGGTGGGAGCGCACCCGTAAATCGGCCCCCATTAAGGCTTCGAACTCGGGAACCCGGTCGGCCCCAAGGGGAGGTATCGCTAAAGAGCGGCGTCACCCAAGGGTTGGAGGTAGAGAGCCCCTCTCACTTGCCAAGCGCCACCCGCACTTTTGGCAAGCCCCGCCGGCTCCCCACCCGGTGAGCCTGCTTGGTGGGAGGAGCATTGGAGGGGGGACCTTCCCGTAAGGCTCTCCCCTTGCAGCGTTGCTCCCCCGGACCACCCCTCCAACGGGAAGAGAGTCGGGGCTGTGGGACAAACCACGGGTGGACCCGACTCCCCAGAGAGGCAGGGCGGTCCAGGGGCGCAGCTGCAATGGGGAGCTCACCCAGGGACGTCTCCCACGAGCTCCGCCCGCAGACTAAAAAAAATTGGGAAACGGGACTTGTATTAGGCAATTTTGTCCCCCTAACCACAAACTGTGGCCACTTATGCAAGGAAAAGTTTCAGTGACCTTACTTGCAACTGGTCAAATCAGCATATTTTTTAGCTGTAGGGCAGTATGATCTTGCATTTTGTGCATTAAAACGTTCAAAATGGGGGGTGGCTTATGGCTGATATGTCAATATTTACATGTCCACATGTTCCGTGTTTACAATTGTTACAAATAATTCAATTAATTATATCAACGTTGTTGGGGGTGGGAAAATATCGATTCTTATAGTTTTTTGGTCGCTGATTTCGAATATGAAGTCAGTTTTTCGATTGCGACATCATCCGGAGGAGGAACCTAATTTTAATTTATTATATTAAAATAATTATTATTGCAATTTATGAATTTAATAACCGTCGTGTCATCCTAGGGAGACCAGTCTAATTTTGTACTGATAGGTTGAATGGCACGTGAAATAAAGGCAAACAAACAAACCAGACCAATCGACGGGCTTGTTGAATTGAACGATTTGAATCTTTGTAACTGTATGAATTTTACAAAGTTTGCACAAGTCCTAATTTTGCACCTACTCGATTAATTAGTTTGTCTGATATTACTTTATCCACCATGTTACCAATTCTACATAGGTGGCGAATCGTATATGTTCACAATTGAACCATACTAAAGCCTATTACCTCTTTTTGCAGACGATGTCCAGTCCTGACGAGGGAGTCGAATCTGGGCCTACGTCAGTCTCAGTAATGAATTTGGATACAGAACTAGAATTGAATTTCATTTCCCCCACATCCACGAATCACACAATGCAAGTGAGTTATGGGAGAAGCCGAAACTGACAAGTTTGTTACATATTTTTCTATCATTCCAGGTCGAAAATTCGCATAGTCATGCCACAAGTACGGTCATCACTTCACCCTCCCTACCAGTCCCACTCCTCGTACCATCGCACCTCGACGAGCTCACCGCCGAAGACCTCCACCTCCTCTGTGACCTCTTCTACCTCCCCTACGAACATGGCACCCAAGGACTCCAAATTATGCATGAATTCCAATGGTTAAAAACAAACTCGAATGTCATCGCGGGGGCGATTGCGAAAGAAAAAATGAAACCAGAAGTAAGAAAAAGTTCATCTTTTTACTTATATTATAATCTTGCCATTTTAATTAATCTTTAAATAACTCACCTTTTTTAAGGGCGCCGAGTGGTACCAGAGAGCCGCCAAGTTTGACGACTTGAATCGAAAGGTCAACACCTTGGCCACCAAATTGAACGACATCACGAATCGGGAGCTCCTTTATGAAATATATCCATACATTTGGGACATTCGTGGCGTCATTTCACTTCTCAACTCCTACGTAAAGTGGTTAGGTGGGTGGCTGACTATAAACATGCCTTTTTTGTCATTCTTCATCCTCACTATGTAGATTAGGTGATGCTAGAAAGAGATCAACTCTCGCCGTTATTAGCATCAAATCAGACCAGAAGACGCACACAGCAGCTGATTGATTAGCAGAGGCGAAACTCATGAAGGATTTATTATCTCTTTTTGTTTGATTCACAGCTCTGGGTCAGTTTCCTGGAAGCGTGTCATCCTATACTTTTGGAACGTATACATGTAGGGAGCGCTCTCTCTCTCTCTCTCTTTTAAGTTTCATAGTTTTGTCAGAGTACCGTATGTACTCTTATTTTTACTCGTGGGGAGGGGAGGGGTTTGTTCTATATATTTATGTATTTAGTTAAGTTATTCATGTCTGGCATGCGTGACGGGAAATAATATTTAATATTTGGTGCACGTCACCGTCGCCGTCCGTACATTAGCCCTAATTTTATACTCTTTGGATACACATTACTTTGTCTCGTTGCCGACAACTGCCACGCAGACCTGGTACACGTTGATGTTAGCTTAGATGTTGAGGAGAAAGTTGCATGCATGGCAATTATGGGTGTTGTCAGACTTGCATTTGGTGGAGTTAGAGTGTCACAAAAAGTTTTAGATTGGCCAATACTTATCTGGACCATTTTTCTCAACAGGGTTCTCCAAAGGGTGGCGAGAAGCATTTATGAGTGGCGACCAGGAACCTTGGGTCATTCGGGGCGGGTTAACAGCAGAGTTGCAAGTAAGTTAAGCTTGTTGCATTTCGGAACGTTTCAGTTTATAATTTAATGTTTATTTTTTCTCAGCGACTAATTCCAGTCGATCGTGGGACGGACTTATTCATGTACAAGGCTCCCGTCGTCCCCTCCTCACAAGTTTACACGATCCGTCCTTACCGACCCAGTGATGAGCCGGCCGTGTATAAAGTTTGTCTCATGACATTCAAAGACGGCCTCAGTGCTGTGGAAGAATTCTCGGACCATCCCAAACTTGCGGGAGATATGTGAGTCAACTGAATTTACATCTTACAATTAGTAAAATTGTCATGTGCTTATCCTATGTTTATAAATTTGTAGAAAAATTGGGGGATATTTAACCCTCAATCCTGACATTAACTTTGTCGTTGAAGACGAATCCGAAACTGTGGTCGGATCAGCGGTCGCAGTCCTTGATGCGAGAGACTTCCGAAGAAAGTTGGACATGAGTTGGATGGACGTGTTGAGAAAAATGTACCCCGTTCCTACCTCGGGAGGAGATGAGTCCCCCTTTGTGAAGGTGGGCAAAGATGACCTTATATTTAGAATAATAACTTTGGTATAATTATCAATTCAATTTGCAGGATGTCCTGTCATCCCTTCAAGTCTCGGATATGAAACATGTTCCAGACGATGTGAGATCGAGCTACCCTTCGGAGCTGAGATTCCACATCGTGTCCCCGCTCGCAGACCCCAGCGTTCCCAAGAGACTGATGACCTGTGTTCTCGCCGCGTTGAGGGCAAATGGTAGGCACAGCAGTGACTCCGTATTTGCTTTGCCAGCTGTAAACTTTGCTAGATTACTGATTGGTTGATGTCGTGCGTAGAATGGGCTGAAATTACAGAAATTTTACGAACTTTTTACAATTCTACAAAGTTTACACGGTTTGAATAATCGATCGTCAATCAAGACCTATATAATTAATACCTATTTAAATTTTACAGGAGTGTTCGGGTGCTTTGTTGAAACCTCCTGTCACGAGAAGCATAATCGAGAATTCTTTAGAAAGTTAGGATTCGCCGAAATAGATGAATCCTTCATGGGCCGAGCGTTTTAACCGTGTCAACAACCATATAATTTAATTCATGACATCCTCCTCCTCCTCCAACCCAAGAGTTTATATATATTTTTAACGATTTTTACTTTATTTTGTATTTTATGTTTTGCAACTAAAAAACAATATTGTGATTGAAACACTCAACTATTGACTGGGTTGGATTGGATTAGATAACAAATTTAAATTGAAACATTATGAATTCCGCACTTTAAAAAAAAACAGAAAATAAATCGAGGTCTCTCCTCTCTTACTACACGTACGTACATACGCCTTCTCTGTAAATCCATTTCTTTCCTCAACCAAGGAAACCATGGCTTATCAGCTTAGTCGCGGTTATTTGTAGTTGTACCCGGTTTTTAGTTTTCTCGACCGGTCGTCGTTCCCCATCCGGGCAGTGGCAGAAAAAGAAGAAGAGAAAACCCAACCAGGACAAGAACCAGGTACTCACTTACTTTTACGGATAAAACGTGTTCTCACTGGAACACCCGGGTTCAGTAGGAACTCTTCCTTCACCAAGCTCACAACTTATCGCACACACTTCATCATAACCCAGTCTCAACTCGACCACGACAACATAAAAAAAGAAAAAAAAATCACAGGCCCACACTCCTACAAAAAACTTCCAGTGAGCCGAACACCACAATTTGGAGGGGTGTCCCCTCAGAAAAAAGCGATGTCTTAATTGATTGGAACACCCCAGTTCGAAAAATGTGAACCCATCCCCCCCCAAAAAGTGTGCAGTAGTGCGACATTTCTGATCCCGATGTTCTCATCCTTCTGCGGATGGCGTTCCTATTAATATTGATACTTCTCCCACACCGTAGTAACACCGTATTCATTCTGATTATTCGTTGCGGCGGCGGCGGCGGCGGAGGTGGCGGTGGTGGTGGCGTATGCAGCAGGCTAACCAGGGGGACGAAAAAGACTGCATAATCCAAGACAGAAAAACAAAGCGTGACAAGAGTTTTATTTCCTTTAGTGTTTTTTTCTTCCTCTCTCTCTTCACCAATTTAGATAATTAAGTGGGGGTGAGTTTGTGTCTGGGGGAGAAGAAGGACCGAAAATCGGGGTGGGTTCCTTTTCCAGTCTCACCTCGCCTCAGAAAACCGGAACTTTATCATCATCCTCCTCCTCTCTCCTCAGTGGATTACGAAAATAGTTCATATGTACGAGAATATGTGGAGCGGTCCACATTCCATCAGCAGTAGGACACGGTAAGCAAAATCCCCATGCAGGACGACCACGGTTTTATATGATCCCGTGCCCCTACCGTACCGTTCGTCTCGTCAGTAAATCATTTCTTAATTCCTGTCCAGCATCATACCAGTCCTGTCACAATAATGCAGTTGTTTGTTTTGTTGCCTGGCTCCGTCTCCTGCTTTTTTTGTCTCCTCATGCACAATTCAAACGGGTTCTTTTTAGAGTAAAAAAAATCCCATGGTCGTTTTTTGCCTTGTACTTTTGCCTTTTTCTCTTTATTATTCTCCAACAATGGGTGGTGTACTGTGGTGGTAGGAGAGCATAGGTGTCTAGCGTGACCTCCTGACCCCTCTAAGGAGAGAGCTTATACGCTCGCTTGGTTATTACAGGCTCGCATAAATAATCCAGACTTCAATTCACGTACCAATTCCGTCCACTACATACGTACACACACACTTTCCTTCTCGAGTGGTTCGTATAGAGGGGAAAAATAACAAAAAAATGGAGAAAGTCACCCACCAAAGGCAGCCAGGCAGCCATAATATCATCGCGTCGTCCGGTCTTCTCTCCCCGTTTGGAGAGAGAGAGAGAAAGTCAAAAGTGGGGAAAGTGTCACTCATGACGGTCACTCAATCGGCATGCCGTCCAAGCTGACCAAATTGTCCGTAGCTGCGAGGCTGGGGAGGGAGTCGAGGGTATGAAATTGTTGTAGGGCCGACTTATTCAGACGGCATCATTATTATTCTTATTATTATGTTGCTTACTGTATGGGCATCGCTGCTGCTGCTGCCGTTTTTCATGTACAACAAACAACAACTGGTGCGACCCGAAATATGAATACAATCCATTATGTCGCCGCCGAGTAATAATAATATGACCACCATGCCACGCCACGCCAGGATTTTCATGTCGTGTCGTGTGTGTAGTCAGGCAGAGAAGTATTCTTCTTTCTCGGGCTGCCAAGTAGTGTACGAGTAATAGTTTAGTGGAGGGACAGGGTTTCGGGGAGGCGGATGGTGGCGTGGACAATAAAGGGGGCAGGCCTAGAATGGAGGTCTCACAGCGTATGCTCGCAGATTTTGGCGAAATTAGTGTCCATCGATTACAAATTTAGTTAATATGAAACAATCGACACGATCTCTCTCCCAATGGTCACATTTGGCGGAGATATTTGCATCCGAAGAGGAGAAAATGTAAATTCGGGAAGTGTACAATTTATCAACTTTGCGAAGCGTTTTCTCCTCTTTGGATGCAAATATCTCGCCGAACGTGACCATTGGGATCGTATCGTTTGAAAATTTCCTACTAATCAAATCTGTGATCCATTGACACTAGTTTTCTAAAAACCAAAGAGCATACGCTGGGAGACCTCCATTGTTAACTGTTCATTTCACATTTTGCATCTCTTCAAAATCCAAATGAAACGTATCATAGCGTTCTTAGCGTGAAAATGTGGGGACGGCTGAAGCCACAAATTTCCACCACGGGGGGACCAAACCGGATAAAAATGAGGGTCATGAAACCCTGTCATAAGCAAAAATCCTTAAACCTTTCCGTATCCTTGAAGAGAACAAACTTTGTTTTGTTGGTGGCGGCGTTGTGTTTTTTTTCTTGTGACACAAAAAAAGCAACACTAACGTGATTCTTTCTCCTCTTTTTTTCTCAAGAGGAAATCAAAACATGATGCCACATTTTCAGGCCGTGCGGAAAGGATGTTATCATCGTCCCTTTTCTGGGTGCTGATCGGATCGCCCGAAATCGGTCATTTCTTATGCCTCGTCCCCTCATAATGCTTATTCCTTACGTAATAATTATAGCCATGCACCCACCATTCCGAAATCCAATCCAAACCACGACGACCAATAATATAATGTGCCCATTGTTTCTCTCTGCTGTCACTTATATTCATGACGCCACGGTAGAATACGTAGAATCCTGTGCGAGGATACAACAATGGGTCTGATTAAATTTTTATGGGGCCCACTGCAGTGTGTGTGTGGATGTGTGTGTGTCGAGCGATGTCGTGACTACTTTTGTATTGTGTAGAAAATCGTGTGCAACTAACTAACGAAGAGGAACTGTACTCTTCTACCTAGCACAGGAAGAAAGTCTCCTCACCTAGTGGTGAAAGTGAGGCCAGGTTTGTCTCAACTCGCCTCGAGGAATTTGCAAGTCGGAGTTTTTGAGTATTGTTGCTGGATCCGCGATTGCAGGCATATTTGTCGGGTTGCATATATGTGGGTTGCATATTTGTCTCTGCATATTTGTCGCCTCACCGATTACAGTAGCCGAATTATTTAGGACCAGTAATTTTCATTTTGGTGTAAAAATCATACAAAATTGAATAATTTGTAAGTCAAAATAAAAATAAATTTATCTTAAATAATAAAATAACTTATATTTTTGGCGTCAAAATCACTCAATTTTCACATGATTTTTACGCCAAATTAAAAATAAATTTATCGTAAATAATAAAATAATTTATATTTTGACGTCAAAATCACTCAATTTTCGCATGATTTTTACGCTAAATAAAAAATAAATTTATCTTAAATAATAAAATAATTTATATTTTTGGCGTTCAAATTATTCAATTTCGTATGATAAATAATATAATTCGGCATAATTCACCTCGTAACTGCCCGAATCCAGAATAATCTCACCTCAGCACTGGCCCGCTTTCACCCCTGAATTGTTGTTTAGTCTGGAAAGGTGGGCAAGTTACGTACGAACGAACCAAGTGACTGAGTGAGTAAACATGCCACTTATTTCCATCTTTTCTCCAAAAAGTAGTACCAGAGTCCATAGGTTTTGTTCGGTTTGACACTTTCACTATCGTCCTACATGCAATTTATCGTCCTCGATGCTAAATGGAGGTGGTGGTGTTGTCTCTCCTTATCAGTCAAACTAACAAGAGGAGGACTGTAACTGATGTGACGTGACATGACAGTTTAGTGCGTGTACCCCAGTTAGCTGGGTGGTTAGGGCGAGAGATAAATATGTGTCACGGATGGATTTGTCTGCCACACGATTAAACACGATTAGGACGCAGGCAGGGTGTCACTTCTTCCTCGAAAGATGAACCAATCCCTACGCAACTATTTTAAAAAGTGAAAGCAGACCAACTTTCACGAAAAAGTGCAAAAAATACAGTGTCCGATTTGCAACAAGGCCACAACGTATCTGCACTTTTTCGTCTTTTATTTTTTTACTTGTGTATGATTTGCCATGCAAATATTTGTGTCCAATAATCAAGCAAGTTTCATGCACAACTCTATTTTAAAAACTGAAAGCGGACCAAATTTCACCAAAATACACTTCGATCTGCAAATCGCTACAGCGTATCTGCATTTCTTCTTGTTCTATTTTACTTGATGATTTCGCATGCAAATACGGAAACCAAATAGGTTTCTTACAGAATTGTGTCTCTAATAACTAGTTATGACTGGAAACAGGGCCAAAAAATGTGTCCAAACAAATTTCTGACACCATATTACTTACAATTTTGTCTCTAATAACCACCCTTGATAAGAAAGAGGGTCAAAAAATGTGGGGTAAATGCACCCCCAGTCCTGACCACATTGCATAATTTTTCACCTTCCCTTCTTGCATCGTATTGATCACGTAATACATAATTTCCCAAGATAATTATGCCCTCATTCAAGCGGAACATGTATGTGCACTGCACAAATGAGTACTTTCTCTTTCTACGTGTGTCATGCATGCCGGGCTGGCACTGGGAACCAGCCGTGGCTACAAATTTCGGTGGAGCAGCGAAGAAATAATAATGCAACCTGTGACCAACAAGCAACGTCCCTCCGTATTATTGACCATATCTAATATTCAGTCGCGGGTGACCATGTTGTGTCGCCCGTATCACATACATGCGTGTCGTTCCTGCCTCCCTTGGAAAGTTGGAAAATAAAGAATGCATGTCGTCCAGTTTAAGGGGAGGGGAGAGCTGGGCGTGCAGAAAGGATGGGACAAAGTCCTCGGAGGCACGGGTGGGCAAAATACTTGGGCGAAATACAATATCTTGAGCTCCGTTCTTCCAAGGGTTTGGATTTCCGGGGGTGTTACACTCATAAAAAGACAAGAGTCTGAGGATGAGTGGAACAGAAGTCTTAGGAAAGTACAGGTTTTGTGAACAAATTAACACTTTATAGATTAAAAACTCTTATTTTTTTAGAAAATCATGAAAACAAAGTGTTTTGACAATGAGCGATGAGAAGTTAATTTATTCTCAAAACCTGTACGTTCGTGAGACTATTGTATTCTCCATGCAGACTCTCGTCTTTTTGTGTGTAACACCCCTGGAAATCCAAACCCTGGGAAGGAGTAGCTCAAAATACAGTATTTTGGCAAACTATTTTGCCCACCTCTGTTCAAAGGTGACCTCTTCTTCATATCCGTGGATCCCAATCGTTGGTCAACATCCCCCCGCACGCCCCGCATAGTGAGACGATATTTACCTTACTTACTTTCTCCCCTCATCCTGCGTTGCCTGCATACACATTCGTGCTTTCACCAACCCGACCACGTTCCCGTTTGAAATTCAAACCGTATGGGTGGAATTTACCTGGTCCGTGGTTTCCCTACCTGCCTGGACTGGACTGGACTGGCAAATGAGAGCATAAATGGTTGCAAAATGAGACACAATATAGCAACAAACCTTTCAAAAATCGATCAAGTAGTGGTGTAGTTCTTGTCTCTGTAATGCGAGACTTATGGTTTACATGCACATTTTACTTTTTCCCAGCAGCCCCACCATCCACACATGTACATGCATGGGCTTAGCAGGCTTAGTTTTTAGTATGTGGTCTTTGTTGTTGCTGCCACTTTCGTGAGTTGCAAACAAATGACTGACTGACTGACTGACTAGCTGGAGAAAGTTGGGAGAAAAGGGAAACGGAACGAGGCACATGTGAGACGGGTTTTCCTGCAGGAATAATTCTCCTGAAAGTGGAGTCGATTTCATTGTCCTTCAATTTGCCAGGATAGTCAAAAATTAAGG